AGAATTGCCTGTGACGGGGGGCTATCTGGATGTGAAGGGTCCAGAGAAAAGAACCAGTCCCTTGAGCGAATTTGCACGAGGATCTATTTCAGTGTAATCTCTTTTGGGGACGAGGAAGTAACGGCTGTAGAAGCCTGACTCGCTCTGGGCTGGAGGAACCATTTCCACGGCTCCTTTTGCCAGCAGATTCATCACCTCTGAGCGCAGGACGTGAGCGTCCATGCTTTGCGCTGAGGTGGGGACCACGCTGCTGAAGCGCGGGGGTCTTCGAGCGAATTGGAGTGAACATTCTCGTTTTATTATCCCCATAACCCATCTCGACACTCCGGGGATGGCCTGCCAGGCCTCGGCCTGCGTGGCGAGGGGTTGAATTAACTCGGGTATACATATTACAAAATGTCAATATCCAAATAGTCTAAGTTGGTTATTTGTTTGTTTGTTGAAGGCAAAGCTTACTATAATTATTAGTTACTGACACAGCTTACCCCATTTTTTGGTAAATCATGTAGTCAAATTATTTATTAATTGATTTTACATTGGAAATTCACCAACATGCATAGTTTGTTTAAATATCAAATTAATTTTAATTACATGATGTAGATATTTATTTTACATGTATATAATTTAATTTGACATCTACATGAAAAAAATGGTATAGAAAGCATAGCAAATAAGCAATGCGAAGCATTTGGTATTTGGATTTCAAAACATGATCACATTCCAAAAAAAATTATATGTACAATTTGCTAGATTAAAGGGGCAATGTATCCTAACACTGACACATTTATCTCTCCCTCTATGTTCTTGTTCTCCTACAAAAAGTAAGAGAACTGATTAGAATGTTTAGGTTGGAGAAACTTAGCAGAGATTCAAAATATCAGGACAGGACAGGAGTGGTTTGTTTTTGATCCATGTGACTAAGTAGATTGCATGAGAAAGCTTGGGCATCTACAGATATTATACTGTTTAAGTATGTGTGCATTTGTTTGCATTAGTTATCTAATTTTTATTAGGTGTCCCATAGTGCCTATTTGCTACTGTGAGCCTTTGGGCTCTTAACAGTTGTCCCTTGAATCCTTTATATTTGAGCTCAGAGGAGAGGCAACAGGAAGCATGGGAATCATTAAGACTTAATGCAGCTCTCTGAATGGCATTAAGCTTCAGGCAACTCATTTCAACCGCTGCCTGTGTAATGAACAGATACTGAGTTTGTGTGACCGTTGCATTGTATGAAAGTCTTGGTCTTGAATTAAAGGTTGATATTCATAAAGCGTTTTTTTCTCTGTGTAATTCAGATTTTTTTTTTTGAAGATGTAAAATCCATGACTGTAATTAAAAGTTAAAAACCGTTAGAGGAGAACGAGGTCATGAGAATATTGAGAACCTTTGAATGTGATTGATTTAAGAGGAAAAATACAAAAGAACAGCTTAATTTGACACTGAAGTGCTCTGTTTGGTTTAGAGTTAATAGGGATCAGTGCTTAACGGATTCATATATTACTTTTGTAAAACGTTATTTCTTAGGAATTGTGAAGGAGAATTGTTCCGAACATTTTAAATATTTTAAATCCAAAAAGTAAAAATAAATAAATAAATAACACTAGCATCTCTTTACAGTTAAACTGAATTTGAACTGAAGCTGTCAAGCAATGGTGAAAAAGCACAATAAAAGATCATAAAAGTAGTCCATATGAATTGTGCACTATATTCCAAGTCCTTTCAAGCTAGCAAATTATGTGACAAACATAATTTAAGTTGTTATTCACTGACAGTCTTTTGAGCACTGAAAATAAATTGCTAGTAAACTTCACAAATAATGGCAAGTAACACAGTGAATTTAAGGAACAACAGATCACCCAAAAATTAAAATCTAATCACCCTCAAACCATCCAAAATGTAGATGAGTTTGTTTCTTCATGGAAACAGATTTGGAGAAATTTAGCAATACATCACTTGCTCGCCAGTGGATCCTCTGCAGTGAATGGGTGCCGACAGAATGAGAGTCAAAACAGCTGATATAAACATCACAATAATCCACACGTAATCCACACCAGTCCAGTCCATCAATTAACATCTTGAGAAGTGATGTTTGTAAGAAACACATTCATCATTAAGATTAAATTGGCTAGAAGCAACAGTTTAAAGTTAAACCACATTAATGATGAATTTGTTTCCTACAAAAATGAGCTCTTCACTTCACAAGACGTTAGTGAAGTGGCGTGGATTATTGTGATGTTTTTATCAGCTGTTTGGACTCTCATTCTGACAGCCCCCATTCACTGCAGAGGATCCACTGGTGAGCAAGTGATGGAATGCTAAATTTCTTCAAATCTGTTCTGAAGAAGAAACAAACTTGGATGGCCTTACTCTGAGGATGAGTACATTTTCAGTTTTTGGGGTGCACTATCCCTTTAAATGTGAAATATTTAAGTAGAATGACTGAGGTTGTTTTCTTCTAAAACATACTCCAATAATCTTTAGTGGCTTCAATCTTATGTTGAATAATGTGTGTTGTCCTTTAAAAAAAAAAAAGTCATTTATGTCAAACTTCATTTATTATTATTATTTTTTTTTTTTTTTTACAGTGTCCTAAATATACCTCAGTCCTACTTGAGTTAATTTTTTCTACAAGAGCAGTTTGTGCTTCCTGAAAATGGTTTGAATATGTAGTATATACAGATTAAAAAGTGTCCAGCCGTGACTGAAATGACACTTACTATATATACTGTATATACTGTATATATCCACTCATGATGGTTCACTGGTAGCCACTCATACACAGTTAAGTTTGTCATCCTTCTTCATTCCCCACATCTCTGCCTCCATCATTCCTTGTTCTCTTCTGTCAGTATTTGCCATAGTGAAACAGAACAAGGATCTGTCTTTGTATGTGTGAAGCGTGCAGCTTGTAAGGGTGTAACACCTCAAACCACAGCATAGACAGGTGTGCATGTCAGGCTGAATAGAGAGGAGAGGAATTGGCCATATCTGGGTTCTTTGTGATATTTTTACCCTGGTGGTGAGAGTCTTTTCATCTCGGCTCAGTGGAGGCTGTCAGACTCTTTACTGGCCCATGCAGGTTTTGATCAGCCCAGAAACAGATCAGACACGTCTCTGGAAATAACCAGAATTGTTATTCACTGTTGTTCATATTCTCGCTTTAATTGTCAGCATGCAACCTGTTAGACACTTTGTTGTGAGGAATATGCAAATGACAGCTCTGCTTTGTGAATTACTAATAAGGACCATTTTTAGGGCCAAGGGCCATTAGACACGGTTTTGTACTGTGAATAATTTTCAGTGAATAGTCAAATTTGATTTATTAACACAGGTGTGAAATATAAAATCGTTTTTTAAAATGCAATTTTTTTTTAAACATGGTTTATGGCTCAAATCTTCCAAATAAAGAAGTAGAAAGCCCCAGGGATGCGTGTATAGCCATAGGGAGATAATTTGGTTTAGAGCTATATTTATTTTGTTATGAAAAAATTCAGATTAAAATGTAACTTACCAAGCAATTTAATAATAATAATAATAATAATAATAAACGTAGTAGTAGTAAATAGTGAATAAAAAATAGAATAGTGAAAGTAAATAGTGATATATATATATTATATATATATATATTTTTTTTTTTTACATTATTTAGGATATAATTCATAGTTATTTAATAATGCATCATATTTTATCTGTTGAAAAAAAACTGCTTTTGATTTGAAAGTTTTCAGGTTAAAAATTAATAAAATTTAATTAAACTGAATGAATGAATGAAAATGCTTTTGTATTTATTTTGTATTTTTTTTACTTTGTAATTACTGATTTATTAACACAGGTGTGAAATATAAAATCGTTTTTTAAAATGCAATTTTTTTTTAAACATGGTTTATGGCTCAAATCTTCCAAATAAAGAAGTAGAAAGCCCCAGGGATGCGTGTATAGCCATAGGGAGATAATTTGGTTTAGAGCTATATTTATTTTATGAAAAAATTCAGATTAAAATGTAACTTACCAAGCAATTTAATAATAATAATAATAATAATAATAAACGTAGTAGTAGTAAATAGTGAATAAAAAATAGAATAGTGAAAGTAAATAGTGATATATATATATTATATATATATATATTTTTTTTTTTTACATTATTTAGGATATAATTCATAGTTATTTAATAATGCATCATATTTTATCTGTTGAAAAAAAACTGCTTTTGATTTGAAAGTTTTCAGGTTAAAAATTAATACAATTTAATTAAACTGAATGAATGAATGAAAATGCTTTTGTATTTATTTTGTATTTTTTTTACTTTGTAATTACAAATTTTCCCCCACAAGATTAAAAAACGAATTATGTAGATTTATAAAGAGTTTTAGTTACATTCAATAGTTAGACACCTAAACAAATAAATAAAATGATAAAAAATAACCAAAAGCGTGATCTTGATTTTCTCCTATATTTCTTTAGAAAATGCACTTACTTTTATAAATTTGACAGAAATCCAAAGCAACTTACAAATAATTTAATGTGTATATTTTATCAGTATATATATATAATCATCTACATCAGTAATGCAAGTCAATGCACTTACTGTAGCCATATGAGGTCTGTCCTTTTTCTGAACAAAAGTTAAGTAAAATTAATTTTTGGTGTCATATTATTACGTTTTTTTGTGTCATTAATGTCATATTATTATATGCAATACATCTAATCAAATCTAAATGTATAGTTTCCATTGCATGGTTCATGGTTATTCTATGGCATCGCTGTGAAAACCCCTTTTGGATATGTTATTATTAAGAGTGCAGGCTAAGGATAAAGCAGTCTAAGTGCACTTCTCGATTGTATCTCAAGCTGCAATTGTGCCTGGCAATGATTTCAGTGAGACTCTTGTAAGATGTCTATAAAACCAGACCAGGATGCACTTCAGAGTGCTACTGATGTAGAAGAGGGAATCATTCGGCTGCATGGTCATCTGTCTGACATCTTCTCTTCTCCTTCATCAGATCCCTGTGATGACAGGAGCCTTCATGGACTCATCGCCTCACGATGACTACAGCACGGATCACTCTCTCTTCAACTCCTCTGCTAGTGTCCACGCCGCAGCTCTGGCAGCTCACAACCAACAGGAGGAGCAGCAGCCCATGTCCCGAGATGCCATCTGGCTGTGGCTCGCCATCACCGCCACCATTGGGAACATCATAGTGGTGGGCGTCGTCTACGCCTTCACGTTCTGACCTCTGGAATGAAACCAGCTGAACTTTGGAGACATATTCGACTTTGAGTCCCTCAAATATAGGACCCCTCATCGGACGAACAGTGTCTGAAAAAAATCTGCACGTTTTTTGTTGTTTATTTGTTTGGTTTTTACGTAGAACGGTTCCAGAAATTATTTTTGATTCATTGTCATCTTCATGTTGAAAACGTTTTAACTAGATTGTTTATTGCTAAACAAGTGTAACGTGAGGAAAAATCACAGATTTCTTTTTTTTTCTTTTTTTTTCTTCTGAGTGACTAATACTGCCAGACTTTTGCCAAATAATTTGTACGTTTTTGCTTTTAGTATGTAATGGCAGATGTTGTTATTAAGCTTTAAATGTCTAGAGGGCAAACACTACTCTCTGAAAGTCATCCAACAACCTTTTTAAAGCAGCGATTAGAAAGTTGAATCCCAAACCCATTTTGGAAAGGTAACCATAAAATAATGTAAATATAGGAAGTGCAGTATAAGTGCCCAGAACAGGAAACTAAACCCTTTTTTTAATTAAAATATTTTAACCGTGGTCAGAAACGGGGATAATAAGCGATAAAAGCACTTAAAATCTTTTTTATGCATGGGGCATTTATACTCATTGGTTGATTTACTATTTTAATTTTTTTGTCTTTTATTTCGCCCCAGCATATGACAATTTGGAGACAATCTCTTCTCTTAATGGTAAAACCACCACTTTAGTTGATGAAAGGTTCAGTTTAGCATTTAAGAAATGCACCACACAATGATTTTAATTAAAACCTGCATACCAGTGAATGATTTTATACCAATAAATATTTCATCCCCTTAGTTGAGGGTGACATGTCCAGCTTGTATTTAGTAGAGGTCAAAGCTTTGCTTTTAATGAGCTCAGCATAAAAGGTGGGGTTGCTATGGCGACTGTTTCATGCTGTCTGGGAGAAAGTGGCTGCGACTTCTTATCCCACCATCACACACCTGCAAACATCTTTACTGCCCACTGGCGCAAAGCAACTCTCCAAACAAACACGCATATGAAGAGATTTATGTCATTACTTCTTCTTCTTCTTTTTAATTGTGTCTTCTTTTGGTGTTTCAAAGCCTTAATCCATGAATGAAGCATATGACTGGACCAACAATTTTACTTAGAAATTAATTAACCACTCCAGGATTGCTTATGCAGGTTAATACTGGTCTGGCTAGGTGACCCAACATGATCTTTCTAGAGAAGCTAGTTGACTAGGTTAAACCAAGTTCTCCCCAAAATTAAAATTAGCTGAAAATCTACTCACCCTCAGGCCATCCAAAATGTAGATGAGTTTGTTTCTTCATCAGAACAGATTTGGAGAAATTTAGCATTACATCACTTGCTCATCAATGGATCCTCTGCAGTGAATGGGTGCCGTCAGAATGAGAGTCCAAACAGTTGATAAAAACATCACAATAATCCACAAGTAGTCCACACTACTCCAGTACATTAACTAACATCTTGTTTCTGAAAAACAAATTAATTATTAAAACATTTTTAACTTCAAAAAGTTGCTAACGGCTAAAATACGAGTCATCTATCCATAATATTGCTTTCTCCAGAAAAAAAATGTGAACCTATGCATGCCAAGGAACTGTCGTGTCTGAATCAGGAGAGAAATATGCACAGATCAAACACCATTAACAAGCAAAAACAGTCCAAAACAGTTCCAAACATATATGCTGTGGATTTTGATGTGAGAAGACAGCGGGGAATGGACTTTCACTAGAGAAAGCATTACTATGGATTATGAATTGGTCATGTGGATTACTTGTGGATTATTGTGACGTTTTTCTCGGGTCTCTCATTCAGACGGCACCCATTCACTGCAGAGATCCATTGGTGATGTAATTCTAAATTTCTCCAAATTTGTTCTGATGAAGAAACAAACTCCTCTTGGATGGCCTGAGGGTGAGTATATTTTCAGCAAAATTTCATTTGTGGATGAAATGTTCTTTTAAGCCAGTTAAGCAGATTGGCATCCCACCATATGATAATGCCGGTCTTTTCAGTAGGGAACAGGAGGAACACCTTTTTTTTTTTCAAAGATCTATCAGTTCTGTTTTAATTCTAACCATGCAACTGCCAATTGTTTTACGAGACTACTGTAAGTCTTCAGATGTTTTTAAAGGTCTTTGACCAACTAAAAACTAAAAAAGAAGAAAAAAAGAAGGTTTAGAAGTTATTTCATACTAGCTGGATTTTACAAACCAATCATTTTCACTGCAATACTTGAAGGACACTTACTAATTGAATCGGTATCGACCAGACAGTTTTCAGACTGTGACGGTCACTGTATTGATCTGATCAGTGGACTTCGGACCTTGTTTAGGCTGACTGGTATAATGAACCAGTTTTAGCTATGATTCAGTGGGATGAAATGGACTGGGACCAAGCCGAGATGATCATCTATCATCTTCTCTGCAATGGATTGCACTAGGAAATGGAGTTGAATATATGCTGAACAGGAAAATGGCCTTCACTTTATCAATGACTTTGATTTATGGACTGGAAGGTCTAACGTCGGTATGTAAAAAAACTTAACAGATAAACTCTAACTGCCACAATGAAGTTTGATGAAGAGCTGATTGTTAATTACGGCTTATAATACACTCTAATTGGAAATACTATTGAAATGTCCTTCAAAGTCTCTTTTCGATTAAGGGAATAAACTGCAGTTTGCTGGTACCATTGCAGTTCCTAATAGAGGAACATCTGTTATTTAGACCAGCTCAAATCACAATCGTCAAACCACAGTAAACCTTAATTTACAAGTGTGCTGCGAAGAAACAAACAATGTTCTGCTCAGCAAACAATGTAGATATTAAGATTCTTAGTCAAAGTCCTGTCGATGTTGAGAGGTCTTTATAGAGGCCTAAAATCTATTGTAGAAAATGAACATTGGTGTGTTCAGCTCAATTCTGCTTCACTTGCACTGTAACATGTTTCTTTTTGTATTGAAAACCACTGTTGAATTAAAAGACTGTCATAAACTTATGATAACAAATCTGCTCGTCTTTTTCTGACGGTGATGCTGAGCAAAGCAAAACCTTGTCCCTTTAACCTGAATATTTTCTTACCACTATAGATAGCCTACTACTGTACCACAAATCCCTGAAACTTGCTTTGAGTTTGAAAACCCTTCATAAGCACCACTGAAATATTTAATATCAGAGTATATTAACTATTGAAAAATGGTGTTGTATAAAAACATCTGGAAAATATGCTTCATCAGTTTAGTGTATATATACTGTACATCCAGTCTTGAGTATCTTCATAAAAGTAAACATATTTTAAGTTCTGTTTAAACATTAATTAAAAATGCAGTTCTAAACAGATTAGCCTATACTGTTTCAAAATATGTTAAACCCACTTTCAGCAATTGTAAATTTTGCAATAAAAAGTACATTTGTAAATTTACTGGTCATTTAATGAAAAGTGATTATTTTCTCAATCTTTTAAAATACAATTTCAGAATCTCAAATCTCCTACTTTAACCCAAAGCAGCATTTATTGTAAGTTGCAAAAATGCGTCACTGAAATATTGCTGTGATTAATAGAATTAATATATTGGCATGTGAGTGCTCATGTTAACAATCAATAATTAAATTACTATTTTGGATTCAGCAACTTGGTCCATACAGAAACTAATATAAAGTTTGGCTAACAATATAATAAATGGACCTCAGAGAAAAAAATATCATCAGTCTATGGAACTGCAGAAACATTTGGTGTCCATTCAGGGCCGTCACTAGTGGGGTGAAAGGTGATGACGATTATAGGGGCCCAATGCCCACACCTTTTATGGTGTTTGGGTATACATGGTACCCATTAAAATGTTTTATCAAAAGAAAAAATTATATGATTAATTATTTTTTAAAACGCAGACTCATTGGCCTTGGCTCAATTTCTGTGAAGAACATATATCAGAACAAATTTTCAATGACCACACACTGTACACCCCCCCTACACACTTATATTACATACAGGATGTTCGGGTCCACTGGATAAAAAAATAAAATAAAATAAAATAGTGGAATTTGTAGGTCCTGTGTACCTTCACTCTGTCCTCCTGCTGTCTGGGCCTGCTATTTGTGTGTGTGTGTGTGTGTGTGTGTGTGTGTGTGTAGGTGAGTAAGTGTAAGTGTGTGTGTGTGTGTGTGTGCGCGTGTGTGTGTGTGTGAGAGAGAGAGAGTTTGTGAGAGTGTGAGTGTAGGTGTGAGTTTGTGTTTCTGCCCCTGCCATCCCCCGCACAAGGTTGTACTTTAACTCATGAATGTAATCTAACAAAGGTAAAGGGCACATATTAACCATATATGCTGATTATATTGATTGTAATTGGGATGAAGTAAGTATTTTAACATAAAATTTTTGATTGTGTTGAATTAAAAACCCAAAAATGCAGCCGGTCCACCAGACCCACGAACACTGGCTGATTAACAAAAATATGAACACCACCCAAGGTTTAAGCCTTGCCAATTTAAACATTCAAGAGATTGTAAAGCGTTCAAGCAAGAGACGTGAAAGAACTCAACTGAGTGCTTGTGCGCTGTGTTCGGTATGCACAGAGAGAGCCGACAGTGCACAAACACCGAACTGATTAACATCTTTCGAACTCTTTCATGTCTTATTGCACTTGAACGAGCAAACACACCGGGCCCTATTTTAACGATCTAAGCGCCCTAAATTGTGCTTAGGGCATATCCGAATCCACTTTTGCTAGTTTAAGGATGGGAAAAATGGTCGGCGCGCCCAGCGCATGGTCTAAAAGGGTTGTCCCTAATCTCTTAATGAGTAATGGGTGTGTTTTGGGTGTAACGCAGTGGCAAGGCTACATAAGGGCCAGGGTGGCACTGGCCCACTCAGATTGACGGCTAGCCCACCGATTCAAATGAGGAAAGAAGAAAAATCCTGCATACATTAGATTAATTGGTCAAATACATGAACATACAAACAACTTGTATTTGCGAACAAGTAAAAGAAAAAAAAAGTAAGTAGTAATAAGATCCTTGTGAATGAGCGCTGATCTTCCAGTGTTGCGCTTCTATTCTGTTGTGAACGCAAGAGCTGTCAATATAAGCGATCAATCAAATCCAAGCACGCTCCCGCTGTAAAGCAGTCCCTGATTGGTCTGTAGTCATGGTCCCATCCATCATACCTGAGATCCAGTTTCTATTGGTTGATCTTCCCAAAGATTACAAATGACGTAGGAAAACACCGCATCATCATCATTGCAACGCGATCTGATCTTAGATGTTCAAAGCAGCATGCAATGTCACTCTAAAGGCTGGAATACACTACACAACTTTTTCCCGGATTTACAGTCTGGAGAAGTTCACGCAATAGTTGCCATAAGTCAGAGCCAGTCTGCAGACTTGAGTCGACAGATTTAATAGAAAATAGCTTCAAACTTTAATTCCATCCAGTCGGAGGAGATCAAACATGTTTGATATTTTTAGCCGATTTTGAACCACACATTGTTTTCATTTGTCATGCATCTGCAAACAAGGTGCACACTTCTTCCTGAGTTTGTTGTGATCAGAATGACTTTAAGTCTGGTAGTGTGTGATCCTCAGTCGTTTAGTGTATGCCCAGTCATTACTTTGAGACTGTTTATGAAGTCAGTAAGTGTATAATGACGTGCGTTTTAAAATCTGTTCCATGCTGAAATACACTACTTTTAAAATCTGACCAGATTTTAAAACACTAGGCATCATACACTCACGACTTTGTAAATAGTCACAGAGGAAAAACTGGCCATCATATATACAAAGTCGTTCCTATCACAAAAATCACAAAACATTTGCATCCCTATTTTTATCTCATGTTGGCTATTGTAAAATTATTTTTGAAATAGGCACTGAGGTTCACCCGATGTTCCCCAGGTCCATTCAATTTAAAATTTCTGGCCTTGCAACTGGCGCAATGTGCCATAAACCAATCAGAATCTCATCTCCCATTCCCTTTAAAAGCCAGTTGCGCTTGCGTCATGGTGGATTCGCTATTTACATGGCGGAATTTGCAAGCAGAAAAACTGAACGCTTCTCTAGTGAGGGAACGGATCTGCTTGTGCGCGTAATACATGCAAAGACTATCCAATGTGACATGTAGGCATTTTTATATTTATGTACACAATAATAATCTTTTACATTTTAATCCTTTAATTTTTCATTTTTTTTAATGTTTGTGTGCTGCTGCGCATTCCTGTGTGTGTAATAAACAAAGTGTACGCTTGTTGTGCACCCGCCTATAGGCGCATATTAATAACGCGCTCT